ACCATGGGCATCTCTCAAGGAGTTTCTTCCTACTAAAAACCCATAAATAATTTGACTGTTCACTAGTTTATGTGGCATTTTATGTTTCCACAAACACCAGCACATCAATTTTAGTGTAGAATTGTTTGAAGAAAAACACATGTTGTAATAACAGAACATGGACGAGATTGATCTGTATCGGATTGTTCATTCATCAGCTGGGCATTTCATCACAAGTCACTAAACCCACCTGGCCAGATTGCACCTTCCCAAGTGAGGCCTTACACATTTGTAGATACACTGTCTTGAATGGACTACACATACCACTTCTAAAAACCAAGGCAATATCGAAAGCCTCTGCTTCCATAGAGAACCTGAGAGACACTTCTGGAAACGAGATGCATTTTTCTCTTAGGACATTGCTCAGTGTTTTCTGTGCTCCCTCTTCTTTGAAACACCTCTGAGATCCCTAATGTCTCATTCGGAAGGAAGTTTTACTGCAGCGCCATCTTTATACACAGCATTTCCATAACTGTATCTGAATACTTACCTATCCATGACAGAGAAACTTGCAAGAAGTATCTTGAAGCTAGAGAGAAAAAGATTAGATTTTTGTTAGTTAGACACAACCAATCAACAGCTGTGTGTGTTTGTGTGTGTGGATGTGAGTGTGTACACCCATGCACCACAACATGCATGTGGAGGCCAGAGGGCAACTTTTGGGATTTAGTTCTCTCTCTTTTCACCATGTGTGTTCCTGAAAGCAAATGTGCCCACTGATCCATCTCATTGGCTTGATTATAGCTTTACCTAATTTTCTTAAATCCACTTCACACTTGCAGACCACAGAAGATAGGTAGTATCTAGTTACAAGTACTTAGAATCTAATCTGAAAAAAAAAGCTATGGTACTGTTTAACTTTCATCACTACAATAATTGTTAATGCTTCTCAAATGTGTGGGAGATTCTGTTTGAAACATGCAATAATCTAGGAGGTTACTTGGTTTTGCTGGCCACTCATATAAATATAGGAGACGATGACCATGTGTTTATCGGCAGAATAAACTGCTGAATTAGAGCCCAGGGTATTTGAGTTAGTGGGTGGGTGAAGCCTTTTAATTATAATTGGTATTATGCAAATTTAAATCTGTGCAACATGAAGCATATTGATAAATTCTGACAATATGCAGTATTTCAAAACACAGAAATTCTCGCTCCAAGCAAACTTTTAAATCACTAAGAATTGCATATTCCCAGAGCTGACAAAGCCAAAAGTTAACTACGTCAATGCTATTGCCAGTCTTCGCTTGGGTTCTCACCAGTGGCAGAACTGGTCTTGAACTGGCCACTCTCTTTAGGAAGTCATCTCATACAAGGAGCAGGAATCTCCTTTCTGAATGATACAGACTATAATCTCGTAAGCTTGGCCTGTGGTCATTGAGACTTAGGTCAAGGTCAGTCTTGTCTGTTTGACCTTCATGGAAATATAAACCACCTTTCAACAGAAAATAAATGACTCTGTAGACTCCTAAGTACTTTAAATTCTATCTGATCATCTTGACATAAAACCAGAGTAGTAGTGTGAACTAAGTCATCTAGGTAAATCAGCCATTTCTGTTCAACACACCAAGTGCTTCTATAATTACCTTAACTGATTATACCATATAGATTCATGCCAGAGAGATGGGGAAGGGGATAGACAGGTAGAAAGAGAAGCTTTTTTTTAAGGGGATAGAAGGATGGCTAATTTAAGATCACTTGGCTACTCTTCCCGAGGACCTGGGTTTGGTTCCCTGCACCCACATGACAGTCACAAACATCTGGAACTCCAGTCCCAGAGGATCCAGTGCTCGTTTCTGGCCTCTGTAGACACCAGGCGCACATGTGCTACACAGACTCCCAGACAGGCAAGACTTATCCATGCACACAAAATAACAAAAATAAAATAGAAAAATAATGAGTTGGCATTTTAAGTCTTCCTGCCACCTACGTCCTGAACAATGCCTAACTCAACTCAATCTTAATTTATCCCAACATAAATACTCCCCATGGGGGTAAGGAATGCCCCCATTTCTGAATGGCATATCAGCCACACAAAAATTTTGACAGAAGTCAAATATGTTAGGCTGTGCAGAGAGAACTGGGACTCTAAATGTAATGAAAGAGCCCAGGTAAACTGGGCCCTGCTGAACTCATGTCCATTCCCTGAGCTCATATTTTTGTTACATGTGACAAAATCCTAAGGCTGAAGTGTGCGGCAGGCGTGTTACACATCTTCTTGTTCAAGCAACTTATGTTCTAGTAGAAATCTCTTAAGGACCACTCCAAGGCTTCAGATACAGAAGAACTTGTCAGATGATTGTGCTCAGCTAAGGAATTAAACTACTTTCTCCCCAAACCAAAAGAATAATAGTCCAGAGATCTTCAATAATCTACATAATCTTTTCCCTAAGAAATAGTTTATTTTTTTCCATTATAAATCTGAGTAACTTTTGGGAGAGGGACTGGGAGGCAAACAGCCAACAGTTTCTGCTGAGCAAGACATAGTTTTGCAAGCATCTTTAAAGGAACTTAAACTAATTTCTGACAGATATAAAGAAAAAGCAGTGAGTTGAGTAAATCTAGGTCAACTACAGATAAAAGGGATTTCCAGAATGTTTCCTTTCTGTCACTAATAAAAATGTACTATGCTTGACTTGTAAAAAGCCATTTCATTCTATGTGGCAACAGCCTACAGTTTGTAATCTGTTAATTTTTCTAGAGATTTTCCTAAATGTGTTATGCTCAAAATGTGGTTAAGAAAATAAAATGTGGGTGGAAAAAAATTAAAGAATGAGAGAAAGAGCGGATGGAATAAGAGAAGGGATGTGTTCTACAGTGTTTTACTGGGGAAGGTTTAGCCAATCAACATGAAAGAGCAATAAAATGGAATATAATTTCCTCAGATGTAGAATTTAGCTTGAAAAGCCATCAAAGAACTTGTCTCAGTGGGGATCATAAAATAGCAAGCTAATGCATGAATGTTTCAATGTGGCTAAATAAAGTTCTTTATGTACATATTCATTGATGAGCTTCAGGGATCCTAGAACCCCAGGAATTTGCCTAAAAACATCTTTGCCTCTGTCCAGACATGCACTTCCTTTGTAGAGCAAGAGTTTTTCACGTTCTCCACATCTCTCAGGTATTCTCTAAAGCATGCTCCATCAACAGACTAACACTCACAGCTTAGCTCTTGACATAATATTTAATATACTTTCCCCCTCTCAGGTTCAAAACCAATGTGCACGTGTGTGCATCCAGAAAAAAAAAAAGGCTTAATATTGCCAGATCTTGGCAAGTTCTGTTTGTGTTAAGCATAACAATTGTCTCTGCCATAAGAAATTAAAGTAAAAAATAAAATTTTTATTTTAAGTATTAAGCATTTTTTTAACCACTGGGTAAACTTCATGTTTTGTCACCAAAGAAAAGGGAGTTTGGGGTATAGATATATAGAATGTTTATAAAAAGGGAGACAAATATTTTGCTCTGTCCATTTTTTCTAGCACTGAACTTAATTGAATTATTCGATTACCAAGTTCATTACAAACATAGGAAATCTTACCATCCTGAGCATATTTCTGTTTCTTTAGAGATTATAACACTGATATATTGACAACTATGTTTTCAGGAAATAATTGAAATGTATTACCTACCCTGAAATTAGTCCATAAAAACTGATCCCTTGCATTTTGGACCTTTCCTTTAAGATTAAAATCAAATTGCAAAAAAAATCTAACCTCTATAACATAGAGTTGATAAGACCCTGTGAGACTGGTGCACTCAGATTTTAGAAAGAAAACAAGTCATATTAGCCCAGTAAAATCTCCTACCAATAGAGCGAAAACTAAATCCCAAGTCGTTGCTTGTCACTGGGAAGTAGTTTTTTGATACAAGATAAATTGTCAGCAAAAGGACAACCAGAAAACACAGATGACCAAAGTTTGATTTTATTTTTGTTTTGTTTTATGTAAATTCATATTTACAGAGGTAGCGCAAAATTTCAATTATGTCTTTTGTAAGAGCGCTTTTGGGTACATCGTAAAACCAGCTCATTTTTATGCTGTTTAGTTTAACCCATGTACTATCAAATTGAACAAAGTACATTATTCAGTGACAGCTCATGATACTTAAAATGTCACTATAAAATAAATTGAATCTGTCCTCATGGTTTCTCTCGTGGACATTGGTTTTCAATGCTTCTCTTTAGCGTGCTAGGTTGAATCACACATACAATGCTTACATTACAGAAATTGTTACATGAAAATTACAGGGTTTTGTGGCTTGATATAAATCTTAAATGCATTGGGATATACCTTTGAATCCCCTTAATTCAACTGAATGCAACAGATGTGTAGTGAGTATCATCACACACGTGGCACTTTATGCAGAAACCCATGTATCCAAAATGGTGACCTTTTATGATGCTGGTGTTGCTGGGAGCTGCCGGTCAGACAATCAGCTGTGCTTAGAACACATAGACCCATATTGCAGCCTGAATGAGATCCAACAAGGCCCTGCTGACTTTTTTTTTTTTAATGAAAAGAGCTATTTAAACATTTCTTTGGTAACCAGGAAGTTGGAAATTTCTAACTTCCAATTTTTTACACAGAAAACTGAACTGCTAGATAGATAAGACACTTCTAACAATCAGAATGTGGCTTCCATCATTTTGACAAACGACCCAGTCTTTCTCTGTGAGTCACTTCCCTTCTTGATGGATCAGGTTGTCTGATGTGAAGTGGAATAATATCCCTCTTGGGAGTTATGGGGATTGGGCAGGATCATGTGTACTTTCTGGGGGTGGAAATTCTACTAACGAGTTTTCTACAAATGTCATTCAGTGTTTTATCCTTTCATATCTCATTGCCTCCCCCATGCTCAGTAATTTTAGTTTGTGCTTTTTTTTCTCTTTTTGTTTATTTGGTTTGCTGGCTTTGTGTTCTTTTCTCCTTTTTTCCCTTTCTTTTCCTTTTTTAATGCAGGAATTGGCCAAGGGGTTCCAGTGGTGGCGCTCATAGTGGAAGGAGGACCCAACGTGATCTCGATCGTTTTGGAGTACCTTCGAGACACCCCTCCTGTACCAGTCGTGGTCTGTGATGGGAGTGGACGGGCATCCGACATCCTGGCATTTGGGCATAAATATTCAGAAGAAGGCGGGTAGGTGAATTACCAGGCCCCAGGGTAGACTCCTGAGTACAAAGCTGGTGTTTAAAGTATGGAAAAGAGGGCATCAAAGTGTGTTCTCTGCAGTTCAGTCAAGACCTCATATCCTAAACAGCTATGAACAATTATCTAAATATTGACTGTGGGGTGGTAGAGAAGAACAGAGGACAACATATAAAATGCCCCTGGAGTGGGGAATCCATGAAGGCTACCTTGAGACCGCATGAGGATGGGGAGGAAGGAACTTAAAGGGTGTGCTCTTTTCTCTCAGTTTCTCCTTCCCTCTTTTCCCTCAAGGAAGGAGAGGCAGGCACTGGGCTATGAGAAATGAAGCAAACAGAATATGGGTAACAGTGCAGGGTAGCCTCCAAGATAAGCTGAGTTTGGGGCATGAGTCTAAGAACCATCATGGTCAAGCTGCTGTAAACACTTTCGGAAGATTATTATCAAGTACTTCTCTATTGTCCTGGAAGGTAAAACCTCGATAATCGGTTACAGCTCTGGTCCTTTGTGAATTACTCCCAGAACTCCTCAGCCCTATATATTTTGGTGGGAGTATCAGCTTTTTAATGCTGCTGTCTAAAGTCCAAAGCTCCAACTTTCCTGGGAGAAAGTCTCTCCACAGTGGCCTAATAAGACACTCCTGCAGGTCATGGAAGTAATTTGAAACAAGATGTGAATGTGTTTAAGGAACACAACCAGGGGAAATCACTTAACTTTTGCTTTTGGTTGATGTTGTTTCTGGGTTTTCGTTTGTTTTTTGTTAGTTAGTTAGTTTGTTTCTGAGAATTTGATATGAAGAGCTATAGACAGACAATCAAAGGCTGCTGAGAGAAAGAGAATCATTCTTCTCTACAGACAAGGTCTCTGATAGGTTACCAGATCCATAGTGGTCAACTGTTAATGCATACACACACACACACACACAACATTAAGTCAAACTAAAAAGCAAAACACTAATTACCCAATTTTTCTAGCCTATGGTTAGGGTGACAAACAAGTCCCACAGGAGATAAGGCCTCTTATAAATATAGAGTAGCTGTCCAAGGGTACCATGAACTGTGCAAAACATTGAGATATAAAAAAAGAACAGCCTGGAGATGCCACCCTCAAAAACCATAGTAAGGCTAGTAGGCAGACCAGTATGCAACTACAATAATGAAATTACAGACGAGCTAGCCCGGTGGAGGGCACGCCCTTTCTACCTCTCTCCTCGCCAGTAAAGAGATTCCACATTTCAGCCACTACCTCCTCTCCTTTCCCTTTCTTAATCCCTGTTTTGGCAGCCACTAAGACAGTATGTTTGCCTGGTTTATACTGGAACCAATACGTGTGAAGTGGAGACTGTCAGAAGGCTGAGGGCTTCTATGCCACCCCTGAATGCCTTGGCAGTGACCTGACACCTAGAGATCTGATGGTTCTACAAAGATCATCATCGAAGTTAAAGCTTAGTCACTGCCAAATTTAATTAAATTGCTATCATCATTCTTCTTTGGGAGAGTAAGAACTGACCCATCTTATTACTGAGGACCTAAATAGAGGGCATTTGCCCAATGATCTTTATATTGACTAACAAAAGTGTTTGATAACCTTAACTGTTTTTTAATTCAATTTTGCCGTAGTCCTTATTTCTTCCAATATAGCAATATGATCCTTTAACCTGAAAACAGCTCTTTGCTCTTAATTGTTTGTGAACCCATTGAGTTTGCTGATTGTTTTTGTCATATGTCCACAAAGCAGATATGGGTTTGCGTACAGAAAAATTCTATCTCAAAAAACCAAAAAAAGTCTCTGATTATTACTATTTAAAATATGTAAGAAAAAAAATGTGAGTTTTAGAATTGGAAGGGGCAGTGGGCAACTTAATCTAGTGGACAAGAAGTTAAATGCTTTGTCCAAGTCTGCACAGTCTATGAGCTCATCCATCTGGGTTATTAGCAAAATTCACTGAAGTATGTTTCATGATGCATGTTTCTGTCCTACTCAGGAAGGGTCTCGATGACTTCTTTAAAACTTTAAACTTTTAAACTTAAAGTTTTTTTCTTAATATATTTTAATACAATCTTTTCTCATTTTGCATAGCTATCCCTGTTCCCACTCCCTCCTCTCTTCCTACTTCCTCCACCTTCCCCCTTCCTCACCTCCCCAGACTCCTTTAAACTTTAGGTGCACAAAAGTTACCCAGTTTTTTCAATAATTTATATTTAATATTATTAGCATATGTATTCCTAACATACAAAAATAGTGCAGTCCTGGTTGTGATCTTGTGTCCAAGTTTTGATTCCTTTCTCATCCTCACCTAGACCATTATCCACCCATCCCCATACCCACCTAGACCATCATACCCTGATCCTCATCCCCACCTATATCACCATCTACCCATCTTCAACCTCACCTAGACCGTCATACACTGATCCTCATCTCCACCTAATATCACCATCTACCCATCCCCATACCCACCTAGACCATCATACCCTGATCCTCATCCCCACCTATATCACCATCTACCCATCTTCAACCTCACCTAGACCGTCATACACTGATCCTCATCCCCACCTAATATCACCATCTACCCATCCCCATACCCACCTAGACCATCATACCCTGATCCTCATCCCCACCTATATCACCATCTACCCATCTTCAACCTCACCTAGACCGTCATACACTGATCCTCATCCCCACCAATATCACCATCTACCCATCTTCAACCTCACCTAGACCATCATACCCTGATCCTCATCCCCACCTATATCACCATCTACCCATCTTCAACCTCACCTAGACCGTCATACACTGATCCTAATCCCCACCAATATCACCATCTACCCATCTTCAACATCACCTAGACCATCATTCACCCTTTCCCATTCCCACATAGACCATCATCTACCCATCTCCAACCTCACCTAGACCATCGTATACCCATCCCTGTCTTCACCTAGACTATCATCTACCCATTCACATCCTCACCTGGGCCATACACCCAATACCATTCTCCAACCTCACCTAGACCCTCATATACCCATCTCTTACCTCACCTAGATCATCATCTACCCATCTCTATCCTCACCTAGACCATCATACACCCATCTCCAACCTCAGCTAGACCATCATCTACCCATCCCCACCTAGATCATCGTCGACCTATCTCCATCCTCACTTAGACCATCATACACCTATCCCCACCTAGACCATCATCTACCCATCTCTAACCTCACCTAGACCATCATGCATGCATCCCCATCCCTACCTAGACCATCATCTACCTATCTTTGACCTCACCTAGACCATCATAAGCCTACCCCCATCCTCACCTAGACCATCATACACCCATCTCCAATTTAAAACTCAAAAGGACTGTGAACACCTAACTTCACTTGGAATTCTTATTTCTAACTATTTTATAATCTAAGTATGCAAAATTCCCAATCTATATAGTCTCTACACAAACATATGAACCATGGGCAGTTATCCAAGAATCTGAAGTCACTCACATAATTAATACAGAGGCAAATAATTAAATGCTATTTATTTCAGTGGGTCTTCAAAGCTTTAAAATTATTCCAAGATATTTTCAATACTTAAAACAAATAGAAACCTGAAGGGAAGTTTTGTGTACATGTTTGTCGATACATGTAGTCACACAGAGAGATATTATGCATAGTGCTATGATGAAAAGCTACACTCTTAGGAAGTCAATGGTAAATTTATCATGATAAAATAAAGTCACAATATTTCTGTATGCCATTGGAATAACTGCCAGGATTAGTTGTGCCTATTCAGTTTGACAAGAAATTATTTACCACACATGTGCATGCAATTTAAAGTCATTTGCAATGAACATTATTTTGTGGTAGTGTACTTTCTTTACATGTACCAAAGAAAGAAAGAAAGAAGGAAGGAAGGAAAGAAGGAAGGAAGGAAAAAAAAGATCCAGCTAGACTTCATTGACCAGAAAGGATTTCTTCTTTAATTTTTCAAATTCCAATGGAATTGAACATTCTACTACATACATATGTGCATACATATTTATATAAACAAACCTGTACAAGTAAATGCATCATTGTCCAAATAAAATTAGATATAGGGAGCATACACATCCTAATTACAAAGCTTTCATTTCCAAATAGATTAATATTTTTGCTGATTTTTATTATTTGGGAATTTATTTAAATTTTTAAAGTTAATTTAATTTATGGATTGTTAAATGATATAGCTTTAAGGACTATGAGTGTGCGTATTCAGCTATGTAACCTTACATTTTAAAATCTTAAAGAAACGACCTTTTCTCCCCTTACATTGTGACCTTTCTAGTCTGTCATTGAGTTCCTTTCCAAGAATATGAATTGGAAAGAAAATATGAATTGGAAAGAGAATATGAATTGGAAAAGAATCACTTTGGAAGTGAATTATAATTGGCAAAACTGATTATCTCATCTGAATGAGATTGCTTGAGATAGAAACAGACAGACTGTGTCTATCACAGCGCAAATGGGCTTGGATACACTAGGAGACAATCACAATGAAATGCTTTTTCTGTGTGTGGTGCTGAGATTAAAATTAAATTCTGTGTTTTGTCTTTTTCCTCCCTATCTGTTCTGTGACATGTGGTACCTGGAAGAAATGGCCAAAGTCCATTTCCTTATCACCGTAATGGGTTTTCTGTTTACCTGTCATAGTTCAGAGTGAAGCAGTAAGCACTTTCCATAATTAATTCTCTTGCTCCAGAAATATGATCAAAGCTTTCTTCTTAATGGCAAACGACTAAACCCCATAAATACAAATATTAATGCTACCAGGAACTGTTAGATTTAATTACCCAGTGCTAAATACAAAGACTTTCTTGTGTTTGACTAAGCAGATAAACAGCATTGCCTGGTGTCTGGAGCACCTTTCAGTGTGCAGCTTCCTGATGCTGAAATCATCAGGCCTTTACCTGATAACTGTCAACCTCGAGTCTCAGGCTGCAGAGAAATGGGATCTCACCCCTT